AAAATTAGCCGGGCGTGGTAGCGCGCACCTGTAGTTCCGGCTACTTGGAAGACCGAGGCGGAAGGATCGCCGGAGCCCAGCAGGTCGAGGCTGCGGTGGCCGGGAGCGGCCACTGCACTCCAGTCTGGGCGGCAGAGTGAGACTCCAATTCAAAAAAAAAAACAAACAAAAAAAGACTGATCATTGGGTATATTGACTTCATGCTATCAGCATATTTATTTAAATATTTTTAAAATTGGTATTATTATATTGGGTATATTTTATATACTGGGGTTACAGGCGTGAGCCACCAGGCCCGGTCCTATATTGGGTATTGATGTAAGCATTTTGTCAGGAGCCAGGCATCTGGTTAAACATAAACTTAAGCTTAATTTAACTTCCTGATTGATGGCATTTTTTCCCAGTTAACAAGTGTAGTACATTCTCTTGGGGTAGAATTTGAGTAATAGAAAACCCAGCTAAAATGAGAAGAAAACGCATTCAAAAAGTACCCCCAGATGCAACCCTTTTAATGTTTAGGTGAAATATTAAATTGTTAAAGCCAGGTAATTGGTGTCATAGATCTAAAGTTTTATGGTTTTGCTGTTTAAATAACTCATCCCTTGAAAGGACATAGCATGGAGTCAGTATACTCAACGAGCAGCCATTTTGGCATTGCCCAGATCTGTGGTGTTTCTTTAGAAGTTCACTCTTCAGCCGGGCTCAGTGGCTCAGCCTGTAATCCCGCGCCTTTGGGAGGCTGAGGTGAGTGGATTGCCTGAGCCCGTGGGTTCGAGACCCGCCTGGGCAGGTAAGACCTCACCTCTACAATAAAATAAAAAAATTAGCCAGGCATGGTAGCGCACGCCTGTAGTTCCAGCTGTGTGGAAGGCCGAGGCAGAAGGATTGCCAGAGCCCAGCAGGTCAAGGCTGCGGTGGCCGGGAGCAGCCGCTGCACTCCAGTCTGGGCGACAGAGTGAGACTCCAACTCAAAAAAAAAAAAAATTCACTTGTCTTTACCCTCTAAGCACTAGCCAAGACAGAACCAGTTTCTCAGAGCAGCTGTTGATCATTGCTTTACGACCCCCTCCCCAGCTTGTTCTGCAAACAAGTTAATCAACTTTTCAAGACCTTCATGACACAGACGCCCCATCACCATGGCAACTGTCATGTGACTGACCCAACCACCTGCCTGCTGTCCATCACCTGATGGCAGTACCTGTGCATACCTGCTCTCTGTGACGACATGGAGCAGACCACTGCCCAATCACTTTAACTGCCCCCATCAAAGGGATAGTTCAAAAAAAATTCGACTTCGAGCAACTAACAACCATTGCTGTGCTAAGCCATGTTCTGACCATGTGGTTCCTTGAGCCACGGTCGCCATGTTTCTTAGCCTTGGCTCCCTCTCCGACTTTGGGCACTTGGGGAGGTGAATCTCCTCTCTCTCTGTCTCTCTCTCTCTCTGTCTCTGTCTCTCTGTGATTTACTTTTTAAAATAAACTGTATTTTCCAATCTAACTTCTGTGCAATTCTTTGCATCTTTCACATGGCACCGGATCGCACACCAGATACTTACACTCCCAGTGGGTCTGACCGAGCATTCGAGAGGCCCGCTGGGATTGTGACCTAACAGTCTCCCTCCTTGGCGTTGCTCCTGGATACTGGTCACATTGGTTCCCACGTTGGGTGGGGCCTTCTCAGTGCTTTGAATTTTCGTCAGCGTCCAGAGAGATCACTATCGCCTTCTTTCTGTTCCTGCCCTGCCCCTACATGCAGTTCCTTCCGTTGTCACACTGCCTTCCCCCGGGCTAAAATGTGCTGGGGATGTCTGACTCCGATGTGGGGCCAGGCAGCTCCGATGTGGGGCCAGGCAGGGCACAGCTCACATGCACACTCAGAACGGGGTGCCCGCAGGGCAAGTGCTGGTTACGCTGGGTGGCTTGTACATTGTGTGGACTCCTGCTGTGGCTCCCAGATTGAGATTTTGGTGGAAATGAATTTGTTCTGTAAAAGGCAAGATGGTACAGAGCATCTTACCACCTTCTGGTTACAAAGTGAAGTGTAGTCGTTATCTGTATGTTATCCTTATCTGTCGAAATACTTACAGAATCCTAATTCAGTTTGACGAAAAGATGGGTTTGATTTTTTTTCTTTCTTCATTTTTTATTTTTTTTAGAAAGAGACAGGGTCTCACTCTGTCATCCAGGCTAGAGTGCAGTGGTCCCATCGTAGCTCACTGCAGCCTCCAACTCCTGGGCTCAAGCCGTCCTTCCGCCTCAGCCTCCTGAATGGCTGGGGTTATACCACGCCTAGCTATTTTTAAGTTCTTTGTAGAGAGAGAATCTCCCTGTGTTGTCCAGGGTGATCTTGAACTCCTGGCCTCAAGCGATCTTCCTCCTGGGCCTCTCAAAGGCCCAGAGTGTGTATTTTCAGTATGCACTTGGATAGTGATGTTATAGCAGGGATCACACACACATGCGTTGCATGTGCTCCTTCAGCAAATACTTTTTGAAAATCCGTTATACTAAGCAATACCTGTGGGCCACACAGACGAGGACTCTGGTCTCGCGAAGCTTGTGGCCACGAGAGCGGTGGTCCCCAGGCCTGCGAGGGGCTTTGGAAGTGGTACAAGGTGCGAATGTGTTGGGGCCAAGGTTTCTTGAAAGAAGTCATGCCTAGCCCCGGAAAGCTGAAGAGGCTGAGTTTCCTCTGTTTTGCCCCCAAGATACCGTGTCTGCGGATCAGAAGGACTGCCTCACTGGGTGTACACACCATCCTCTCGCTTCTCTCCTCAGTGGCCGTCAGGGTGAGGCTCCCGCAGTGGAGCCCTGTGTGCTCCCTGTGTGCAGTGCGTCTCCAGGACCCGCCAAGGTCAGCCTCCCTGCCTTCTGCACCTTCTGAGCTGCTGATGGGTCCCTGGATGGGGCTTCATGCGCTTTTTGCCACTGTTCGTTGATAGGAGTGTCCCAGGTGTTCCACAAAATGAATTGCCTGAAAGCCGAGTCTAGAACAGCTGCTTCTGATTCCATGGGCTGCCCTCTGGGTCTCACCCAGGTTTGTTGTGCGGTGGCTGGAGGGAGGCGGGCCTTGTTGCGTCTGCGGGCTGCTGTCTGCTGCCGCCTGGGCGTCTTGGTCCCTCTCCCTGTGGCCTCACTGCTTCCAGGATCCCAGCCCGTCCTTTGTGGTGGTCTCAGGAGGGTTTTCCAAGGGCAAAGGTAGAAGCTGCCAGGCCTCCGAAAGCCTGGCCTTAGACGCTGCCTGATGTTGTCAGATGCGGTGGCTCATGCCTGTAACGCCAGCACGTTGGGCGGCCGCGGCAGGAGGATCATTGAGCCCAGGAGTTCAAGGCCGGGCTCGCTGTTCTTGGGACTGTGGTGGCTGCCAGCCATGGGGAGGAAATCTGGCCCAGGACCCTGGGGTGGGAAGAGGGCTGGGACCAAATTCCAGGGATTCTAGCCCACGAGAGCTGAGAGGAAGGCCTGGAGGGCTGGCTGCCGCTGCGTGTTGTGCTGGGCTCCAACATCGCCGAGGTGAGGGCATGTGTGACTTCGCCTCGTGTGTGGAGGCAGGGAGGCACATGTGGGCCTGTGGGGCTGGGCTGGGGCGGGGACAGGGCCCAAGGTGTGAGGGCGGGGCCTGAGGTGGGGGCGGCCGGAGGTGTAGAGGCCAGCTGTGCCGATGGGAGTCATGAGGGAGTGGCCCGCGCCTCTGGCGTGCTGAGCATAGCTGCTGTAAGGGAAACATGGCAGATCGGTGGTGGGAACAGCCGTCACTTGCACATGAGTTCAGGACCAAGGTGCCAGCTGACCCATGTGTAGGAAGCCTGCCCGAGTGAGGACAACCGTGGGTGTGCCATGTCCGTTGCGGCAAGGGCAGAGGGGACAGACCCTGCCGCGTCTCCTGCAAGGGCGCTCGTCCTGTGGCCAGGGCCCCAGGGCCCCAGCTCCCGCCTGCTGCCTCCTGTGGTCCATCTCTTGACTCAGCTCACCAGGGACTGAAATGGCCCACAGCGGCGTGCTTGTGGCTCAGACTGGGAAACAGGGGAGCCTTCGGGAAAGACACACTGGCTGGCCCAAGAGGGGGCTGGTGGTCGCACACCTGGATCCCTGGTCCTACAGGCCGCTCCTCTACACATCGGGGCTGCTCGTCCACTCGTGCTCCTTCCAGAGCAGAAGAAACTAGGCCTTGTGCAACGGTCTTCGGTTGCACTGCCACCCCACGTGGTGAAGGCCCCGCCGGCGACCCCCCCAGCAGGCCTCACGGTCCCCCTCTCCCCGCAGGCTGATGAGCCCCGACAGCACACTCCTGCAGGCCCGGGAGGAGGAGGGCGTGCGCTACGAGCGCACCTTCATGGCCTCCGCGTTCCTGGACTGGCTGGTGCAGGAAGGCGAGGCCACCACGCGGCAAGAGGCAGAGCAGCTGTGCCGGCGTCTGGTGGAGCACAGCATCATCCAGCACGGTGAGTGGCCAGCCCCCGGCACTCACGGGCCGCCACCAGTCTCGAGCCTGCCGCCCCTTCTCTCCGGGCCCTCGGTGACTGGGGCCCCGCCTCCCCGCCCCAAGGAGCGCCTGCCCAGCGGGCATGTTGTTTTGCGGGATGGCCACAGGCTGCAGGGGCTCCTGAGGTGCCGGCGGGGCCTCCGGGCTCCCCTGGGAGTGACCACATCACGGCTCCGAACCCTCAGGCTGAGGCCGTCAGGTGCCCAGGTCTCAGCCAGGGAGGTGGCTGCCTCCCCCAGGTCAGTGGAGCAGGAGAGTGGCTGCTTTTGCACTATTGTGCTGCCACCGCCCGAGAGTCTGTCCTGAGGGCCTTCGTGGAAATTTCACCTTCCTCTGGGGCTGAGTCACAGCGATGCAGCCTAACTTACGGGGTCAGCACTAAACAGCAGCCGCGGGATCCACCTCCACTGGGTTCGCATCCGTGGGTGGTTCCTCTGTGGGGTCTGCCTTCGTGGGTTCCCCATCCGTGGGCTGCTCCCCCGTGGGTTCCCCATCAGTGAGTTCTGCCTCTGTGCAGTCCACAAATGTGGGGCCCACCTGCGTGCATTCAGCCAACTACGAAACGCCAGGCGTTTTTCTTGTCCTTGTTCCCGAAACAGTACAGCATACGCCGTATGGGATGTTGTAGACAGCCAGAGGTGATTAGACGCATGCGGCAGGATTGCTCAGGCTACACGTGTCAGGGCCGAGGGGACGCTCCCCTCCACCCTCCGAAGAGCTGCTGAGAGCCGCGGGCGCGGGGCAGCAGGAAGGCACACGCGCTCCCTCAGGTGCCCAGGAGCCATCAGCACCACGACCCCCAGATGCAGCGGAAACTGTACTGTCGCCCTCAGATTCAGCCAAGTCTGGACAGGCAGGGTGGAATCTAATGCGACAGGCCGAGGGAATTCCAGCGGGGCCTGACTGTCTAGATTCCTCCTGGCCCCTCCGAGCCGCCGGCCTGCCTTCTGGCCTAGCAAGCCCGCTCTGCGTCGGGTCTCGGGACTCCCGGTCCGACAAGGCCGGGCAGGTCACTCTTTTCTGACCCGTTTTTACACAGGAACGGCTGCTCTGGGGAGAGGGCTTCTGGCTTCTGTGACCCGCCTAAGGGAAGAGGGATTCTGGCTTCTCTGCCTGGAGGGAGAGAGGGACGGAGAGGTGGGGCAGGACAAGGTTGGGGGAGCTTTGCTTCTGGGGCGCTTGTGTTGGGAGTGGTGTGCTGAGCGCCGCCGTCCACACAGCTGAGCCGCTTTAGATCAGGGGCCTGGGCGTCCTCGGATGGGGCATCTGAGGGAGGCCCCGGAACCGTCCCTGCGGTTGCTGGGGGGGAGCGTTGTCATTCTGTGCTGCCGAGCGTCTCTTCGGACCTGCTGGTGTAAGCCAGCCGTAGCATCTGCTTCCTCCGTCTGGATCGCGAGGGGGGAGCGGCTTGGCTGGCGGGCCTGGCAGGTGCTGCTCATGAGGCCTTGGCGGGGCCGGGGGCCGCGGTGAACGGCGCCGGCCGTCGCCTGCACGAGTCCCAGCTCCGCCTGCTCGCTGCCTCCCCCCTCTTGCCTGTGGAGTGGGGATGACCCCGCAGGCTGGTTGGAGAGTGCGGGGGTATGCAGCGCCCTTACCCGGTGGCCGCTCCGGCACGCTCGGTCCGGCTGACCCGTGCGCTGCAAGGGGTGCCGGGGAGCCTGAGCGAAGGGCTGGGACCTGGGGCGTTTCGGCTGAGAGTCTGCAGGAAGGGCGGTCAGGCCAGGCGGGGCGGCTCACGCCTGCAGCTCTGGTGCTTTGGAAGGCTGAGGTGGGAGGATCGTTTGAGCCTAGGAGTTCGAGTCCAGCCTGGGCACTGTGGCGAGACCTCACCTTTACAACAAACAGAAGGTGCCTGGACGTGGTGGTGTGCGCCTGTAATCCCAGCTACTCAGGAAGCTGAGGTGGGAGGATTGCCGTAGCCCAGGAGCTGGAGGCTGCAGTAGCTGTGATTGTACTGTTCCATCCCAGTCTGAATGAGAGTGAGACCCTAAAATTGAAGGAAAAAAAACGGGGAGCAGGGTGATCCTTGAGTCAGTCATGCTGCAAAAACCCTTCTCTAACCTCACTCCCACTCAGGCCTAGGATTTGTGTCTCAAGGTTAAGAAGATAACAGTGGTGCTGGCTGGGCGTTGTGGCTCAAGCCTATAATCCCAGCACTTTGGGAGGCCGAGGTGAGGGGATTGCCTGAGCCCATGGGTGACCCACGGGTTAGAGAACAGCCTGGGCGACTTGGGGAAACCTCATCTCCACCATAAAATCAGAAAATAATGTGGGCGTGGTTGCACACACCTGTAGTTATGGCTGCTTGGAAGGCTAAGGAGGAAGGATCGCCTGAGTCCAGCAGGTCAACACTGGGGTGCCCGTGAGCGTGCCACTGCACTCGAGCCTGGCGACGGAGTGAGACTCCAACTCAAAAAAATAAAGATAACAGTGGCATTATAGAGATGAAAGGAACTTAAGGTGACGGTATCTGGAGCAGTTTCCACACACTGCAGAGTGCAGCCTTCAGTGGGTCAGGAAACAGAGAACCACTCCAGCATTTACAAATAAAACTTTAAGCTGATGAGACTCTCACTACTCCAAGTGTGACCCGTGGACCTGTGGTGCCACTTGGGAGCCTGGCAGAAATGCAGAATCCCTGTCCCCTCCCACATCCCACTGAACCTGATCCCGCATGACTTGACTGCACGTTCCAGTGTGAGATACACTGGGTCAAATCCAACTAGAATAGAAAAGACAGAAGGTATTTATGTAGCAGGAATAAGCATCTTTCTGCAAAACATGCATTTCAGTCACACAGACACCGTGGAAGCCCAGGGGCACATTCAGGTGTGTGTTGGGTTGGGACCCGAAAAGCCTTTGTCCCTGTGTGTTGGGGTCAGATATCGTGACAGCCTCTGTTCCGGAGGTGCTGGTTGGCATGGCACGTGGTGTCTCCCAAGGGGTTCTTCCTGTACCAGGTGCCAGTGCCCTGACACCTTAGTGCTGGTTTCAGTCCACCAGGAGGGGCGGCTGGGCGGGACAGCACAGAGCCGGTGCCGTCCTGATCTTGGGTCATCTTTTTGGGACCCTGAGATGGTCCCAGAAGCAAATGGAGAACAGGAGAACACGGGCCGTCGATTTCACTTATGTGTTGACTCCACACTGTGTGCTGGACACTTCTAATCATTTTGCCCTTATTCACTTACTTAAACGCTTAAGCCCTATGAGGTAGGTTTTCTTCTTTTTTAAGAGTTATTTTATTGTGGTAAGAACACTTGATATGAGATCTACCCTCTTAACAAATGTTCACATGTCCAGTGCAATAGGGTGGGTAACGTCACCTTTATTTTACAGATCTGGAAGTGAAGGCACCAGAATTAAGTCATTTGTCTGAGTTCTTTCAGGGGAGAATGTCCAGCTGGGCATTGCTATGTAAGAGTGAAATTGGAGGTGGGTGAATGACAGGATTTCCCAGGAAACGCGATGTGACTGGTTTAGAGTTGGGTCTGTCACCTTTGCTGCACACAGAAGGAGTCAGTGACACCACCTTCTAGGAGAAAGTCAGCCTCTTCACTGGGGTCTGCTGGCTCATGCTGTCCGCCTTGGCTTTAGAGAGGGGGTGGAGGACAGGCCGTGAACAGCTTCCATGTGACCTCTGGGAACGAGAAACTGCACTCTCGTGTGCAGTTTGCCACAGTGTGATTTGCAACATGGTGGACACAAATGCCTGAACGGCTCCATGGGAGGATGAAGCAGAGGCAGTGCTGATGACCGTCCTGGGCACAGAAGCTGCTGTGGTTTCTGGGAGGACATGCGCGCTCTGTGTGGAGCCAGCTTCCCAGCACAGCGGTCCGTCTCTAGGCCACAGGCTCTCATGTGGAGTCGAGACACCCTGGTGCCGTGCCTGTTTGTGCCAGTGCTGCTGAGAATGCTCGTGTTGCAAGCAAGGCTCTGAGCTGTCTGACTGGTGGTTAACTTCCTGGGTTAAACAGTGCCCAAGGCAGCTTAAGGCTATGAGCAGAAGGTTTCTGGTACGGGTGGCTCCCTCGTAAACTCGCCCAGCGTGACGCCCTCACTGGCTGCACTCATGAATAGCAACTGCACGGTGTGCTTGCGTCAAGGTGGGCTTGCAGGACGTGCTGGGAATGTGCGCATGCATGTGTGTGCGTATCTGTACAAATGTGTGTGAGCTTCCCTCACACGTACATCTTTCGCTTTTGAATTTATTGATGTTCGCTGTGTGCCAGGCACTTGGCTAAATACTTCATATGCTTTAATATATTGTGTATTTTACACATATGTGCTTCACATGTATGATTTATATCTTGCATGTGTGATCTCAAGTCCTCCCAGCAATCCTATGGCCTTGGCCTTATTGTTACGGTTTTAGAGGGGAAAGCTGAGGTTTGTGTCCCGCCTCTGGAGGGTGTCTGTGGAGGGGTGTGTGTATGTGTGTGTGCGTGCACATGGGTGTGTGCACCCAGGTGTGTGTGTGGGGGGTGGTGTCTGCCCGGGTATGTGGGGGAGTGCAGATGTGTGGGGAGGAGGTCATCTGCTCAGGTGTGTGTGCCCAGTGTGTCTGCCAGGTGTTTTGGGAGGGGCTTGTCTGGGTGTGTGTGCTCAAGTGTCCGTCCACCTGGGTATTTGCATGTGGGTGTGTGCAGTTGTGTCTGTGTGAGTTTATCTTCCCTGGTGTGTGCAGATAGATGTGTGTGCTGCCCGGGTGTGTGTGTGCAGGTGTGTCTGTGGGTGTATCTTCCCTGGTGTGTGTGCCAGAGCAGTGGTGTGAGCTAGGTCTGTGGAGGGACAGGACAGGCTGGATTCCAGTCTCAACTTCTGCACCCTCTGAGTGGCCATGTCTGCATTCCTTAACCTTTCCATTTCTCAGACTTTGGATTTATTAAGTGAGAGTCACTGCGCGCCTTCGAGAATGTTTGTTCCTGGAGACACGCGGGCATTCTGCGCTTGGGGCTGCAC